GGCCAGGAGAGCTGCAGCAAAGAGGCAGAGCAGCAGGGGCCTGGAGGCCTGGGGTGCCCGGGGGGGGGGGTCTCCCCAGGCCCCTCCGAGGGCGCAGGGCCGCCGGCCCCCGGGAGCTGGGGAGGACCCATTCCAGCCCGGGGGGCCGGGCGGAGAGGCGCACGGGACCCACGGGGACCCCGTTGCCCCACATCGGCCTCCGGGGAGGGCGGCCCAGAGGGCTCCGGCCACTAGGGAAACTGAGCCATGAGAAGAGCAGAAGGGGTCAGCAGCGTGAGGGCTGTGGCCTGGGAGGGGGTCCTCGAGCCGCGGGAGAGCCACGCACACTGGGCCACGGCGTGGCCGCCGCACCCCCCGCCCGCTCCGGCGACAGCGTGCCCAGGACGGACCAGGTCGGCTGTCGCCGCGGGAAGCGAGCCCGAGGCCGCGGTCTGTGATGACGTTCACCGATTCCGGGTGATGATCTGTGGGCGAAGCCCCGCGGCGCCCCACCCCAGCGCCCTCGGAGGCCTCGTCAGGAGGCTGCTCTGAGCCGGGCCCGGCGGCTCCGTCGGGATTTTCGTATCAAGGAGGAGGGGCAGCGGGCATCCGGGCCGAGGCCACTTCCAGGGCGCCGAGGGGGCCCGGCCGCGCCCACCAGCCTTCTGCCCCTGCTGCTTCCTGGCCCTCAGCCGGGCGACTCGCCCCTGCGGCCCATGCCGGTGCGCAGGGCTGGAGCCGGTGGCAGGCGGCCGCTGGCCAGCTTGGCCTGTCCTGGCGCAGACAGACGCCCGCACAGCGAAACTGCTGCTCCCCAAGGCCCTTACGAAGGGCTTTTGCTTCCTCTCCGGGCCGGGCCCACGCGCTGTCTCCTGACCGCGGCCGCTGCCTTTCCCAACCTTGGACTCTGCGCTTGCGAAGCCCCGGCTCTTGGGCAATCGGGGGTGTGTGGGCCTCAGCCAGCAGGGGGTCACTCTCCAGCACGCCGGGGCCTCTACTGGGGCTCTCCTAGATGCTGCCCGCGGCGCCCGGGGGGGGCATTGCCAGGTCACTTGACAGAAAAGCGCCACTGTTTCGTGGGAGAACGGGCGGGGCTCGGAGGGGGGCCCGCACCTCTTAGACACCTTTCTGGAGCAAACATGGCGGCCAGGAGAGGCCACGCCAGCTCTGGGAGAGGTCAGCTGGTGGCCGGTCCCGCCCCAGTGTGATGGGGCTGGGGGCAGGCCTCGGGGGAGGCGGAGTCACGCGAGGCCACGGGCAGGGCCAGGGGTCAGTGGCCGCAGGGGTGGGGGAGCCCTGAGCCAGGGGCCTTCCCGAACATGGACGCTCGGAGTCCTTCCGATTCCTGGAAAGACAGTGGAAGCAGGTGTCCAGGACACGCCACTCGCTGCCAGCCACAGTCTTTGCCCCGACACGACAGGACCGCGCTGACGGAGCCGGGGACCGAGGCCAGCTGACACCACCCACGGCAGCCGCGTCCCCGTCCTGCGGAGCCCAGTCCGGCGCCCAGGGGTCCTCGTCGGTCATGCAGAAGCGCCCTGGCTGTGAGGCCGCTCCAGCTCCTTTTTCTTTTTAAAGATATATGTTATTTATTGCTGCCCGCAAGAGCTGGGGTACAGGCCAGAGGTGCAGGGGCCGAGGACCCCCCAGAGACAGAGCGGGGAGCAGAACAGCAGAGCCGCTGAGACACGCTGCTGAGGGGCAGCGGGAGGGGGGAGGGGCCTGCTGCGCCCGGGGTCGCTCCTGGCGGGGCTGCGTCAGCCTGGGGCGGCCTGGTGGTGCACGCTGACCCCTGCTCCCCCGAGGCCCCCCACTCCAGCTCCTTGCCCCACAGCAGGCTGAGACAGGCCGCCGGCGCGGTCAGCCGCAGGCACGTGCTGAGTGGCCCCGGCGGGGCCGGCTGCGCGTGTCCTGGCCCGTGGCGTCACGTGAGACCGCCCGTTCCGGAAAGCGGGTGCTGGCCCCGAGGGCGACACGCCCGGCCGGCTGCACCTCCCGAGGCCCCAGCCTGTCTCCTCGGCCCGAAACCCCAGGGCTGCGCGGGGCGGCAGCTCCTGCCCCGGAACGTCCACGTGCCTGCCGCTGCCCGGAGGGCCGCTGCCCGGAGCCCACCGTCCTGAGCACCCGTCCCACTTTCTGGGTCCAGCCCCCACTCGGCCCCGCGCCGAACGATGGAGCCCGGGCTGCACGGGGTGGACAGCCGGACCAGTCCTCTCTCTGCGCGGACACCGTGAAAAGCAGAGGCTGCCGGGCTCTGCCGGCCACAGGGGCGTCCACCAAGGGTGGCCGGAGCCCCGCGGGAGGAGGACGCTG